AGTACAAATATATATCAAAGTTCTTCTTTATATGCTCCTTAAAGAGTACCAATATAAACCAACCTATACATGTCCTTCTAGAACTTTCACAGTACGTTATATATATATATATACACACACACACACACACACACACACACACACACACACACACATAATATATGGAAAGTTTTTTTTGTTTTTTATGTTAATAAGTAAAGGCTAAATTTTCTGAGTACTTACTGTATGCCTCATTTTATCCCCATTTTACAAAGAGTGAAACTAAAAAAACTAAGTGAAACTAAAAACTAAGAAAGGTTAAGTACTTGCAAAGGTCGCACCAGAGATAGTGAGAGGTGGAGCTGGATTTGAACCCAGGCACTTTGGTTCCAGAACCATGGTTGTGTGCTTTTCCTGGAAGTGCAAAGCAGATGCTTAGAGCCTTGCCTGTCGAGGGCTGTTGGAATACGCAGACTGACACAGGAGGGGAGAGCTGGGAAGGTGTTAGGTAAAGCCTGTGCAGGGTCTCTCCTGGTGGACCAGTCTGCCCTTGTCCCATGATCATCTGGGGAGCAGCTGTCATTAAAAAAAAAAAGTCTGAAGGGTAGATGTGAGATAAAAGTCTAAAAATGTGAGAAAATGTAAAATTTCCTTGTGGCTGGGAACAGGTATAGGAGGATACTGTGTTCCAGAGCCTGCCACAGATGCAGGGCCACTCAGAGAGCCCAGCCAGGTGCTGCTGACCAGTGCTAGGACAGCCACCAACCTGTCCCTGCCCTGGGAAGGCCATCCCATGTGTATGCCAAGCGATGAGGTCTCTTAAAGGACTGTGGCTGTGAATTCTGATAGAGGCAATGCCCCTGGGAAAGACTTTAGTGTCAGAAGAAAGGGAAGTCATACTTATTTATGAAGCATGTATTATTTGCCAGTGACTTTGATTTTTAGTATCTTACCTGATCTTCATAAACATTCTGTGAGGTAAATACTATTAACCCAATTTGACAGATAGAGAAAATGAGGCTAACTGGGATTCAGTAACTTGTCCTGTCTGATAATTCAGCTCTGGAGTTCATATCCAAGTTCAGCTCCAGGATTTGAACTCTGTCCTGTCCCTGGTGAAGTTTGTTACAAGGATGAAGTGAGGAAGAGCCGTGAAAACATTTCGTGAGCTACAAAGTTCGCAAACTCCTGGAAGGATTCGGGATGATACAGATACCTGGTGGTTGTTCCAGGAGTGTGGGAGGGTGCACTTATTATCCCTCCCCTCCCCTGGGGAGCTGTATAGAGCAGGCTTGGGGCAGGCCTGGGTGCTTTTTATACTAATACTTTTCCCACCGTCCTGAGGAAAAGAGCCAGTGTGACTTTATTTCCAGAAACTTCTATTTCCTCCTCCTTTTTGGTCCCTATGATGTGCCCCCTTAACCTGAGCTCTTTACCCCAGCTCACGAAGTAGCCAGCTTACATGCAAAATATAGAGTGTGGAGAGGGGTCAGAAATAACTCAGCAGCTGGTGATGTGTGAGACACACAGGTACTTGGAGGTGTGCGATCACGTCCTTTTTACCTTGAGAAGTTCCATCCTGGGGAGGGATGCCCTTGCTCACTGTGGCTGGTGCTGCAGTTGAGGAAAGGACTGTTTGCAGAGGAGGTGAAATCCATGATACAGTCTCATCATCTATGCCCCTTCGTCCTTTATCAAAACTTTCTTGTGAGTGACTCAAGCCCTGATTGGGTTGTGTTCTGGCATTTCACTCTCGGGTGATCCAATTCATAGACTTTTTTTTTTCTTAATTTTAGTGAAATACACTAACATAAAGTCAACCCTTTGAAACATTTTTAAATGTAAAGTTCAGTAATGTTTAGTATATTCATGTTTTTGTGCAACCAATGTCCAGAACTTTTTAATCCTGCAAACTGAAACTCTGTGCCCATTGAACAGTAACTGCCGTTCCCTGCTCTCACCAGCCCCTGGCAACCACTGCTCTACCTTCTGTTTCTATGAGTTTGACTGGATCCCTCCTAGAAATGAAATCATACTGTGTTTGTCTTTTTGTGACTAGCTTATTTCACATAGCATAATGTCCTCAAAGTTCGTCCATGTTATAGCATGTGATTCGTAGACTTTAATATGTGACCCAACGACTCAAGAATTCCACTCCTAGGAACTGATATGATCACATCAGTAAGTTAAATGAGAAATTCATTATCCTGCCAATAAATGACAAAAATATTTCAACATTTAGTCCCAATTTTTAAAAAGTATTGAGGAATAAAAAATTATAACAGGCAACTTTTCAACCCACAGAGCACTTTATGGTTTGTGGGGAAATTCTAACAGATTCTTCTTAAAATCATGCCCTCTCTTGCCATCATCACTGAATTTAGTTCTGGTGATATGGAACGATCAACTGAGATGTGAAACTTAAGAAAAGTGGGCCAACCCCATGGCTCACTCGGGAGAGTGCGGCGCTGGGAG